TCGCCACGTTTACACCGTGTTAATGATGTTATTGTTCGAACTAGCGGACATCTCTAATTGATACTGGTGAGGTGGCTTCATTTGAAATCGTAGGGCGAACCGTAAGACATGGATTGGGACTTGGGAGCCGGGGGGAGTGATGTTCAGTTGGGGGTACAGTGCTTATTTCACATCAGCTGTGATTTGAAGTGAATGGTTTTGGAATTTTTATCTGTCGACGCTCGATTCGCTGGCCGCCATGCCTACTGTACAAGTTTCCATGAACATTATGATTTCACGTTAACAGCAAGCTTGTTTCAAGCCCCTTCGCGTGTTTGAGTCTCCACTCTCCAAGGCATTGTTATTCCTTCACGATCAGAGCCCAGCTGCTATAGACCAGAAAGTCCGGTTTTTCTTGCTCTAATGCCTAAGCTGTAACCGGTAGAGCTACTACCAAGGTTACACACTCACCTCTGATCTTTAGTCCGGTATGGCCGGATAAAAACCGGATCATACTACCGCATTACTCGTCGAACTAGCCGAACCAGTATCACTAGAAAAACCGGAAGAACCACCCACCTCATAACATGACATTGGCAGTGAAATCCAGGAATGAATGAACGCTCGTTTTGCTGCGGTGGTTGATTCGAAAGCGCCATTATTTAGCAGTCTTTGTTCGTCTTCGAATAATCATCCTCATTTTCCCCACACCGTATACGTGTGCTGTTGGGAACGATGCGGTAATTTCACACCGAAAACGGTCATAACTTGCAGCTATTTTTCACAAGTCGGGTCTGAATAGACGCCTTCACTGTGACGTTGTATGACACCATATTGGTTCCGGTCTCAAAAGCACGGTAGGTGTCGCGTCATACTCGCAATAGCACATATAGCTCTCGAAAGCGTTTCATCGCCTTTTCCACGCGTGTGGGGACCCTGATTGTTCGTCGGATGTGGCGCATTTCGACATGTATACGGTTTCGTTTGCAATGATTGGTCAAAATAGTGACCAATTGAACCATTTTCGGTCCAGACCGTTTTCATAGTGGGACTGGCCAAGGGTTGGAAGGGAAATTTGATCTTATTGATGCAAAGTATTTAAAGTGCAGGGTTGAAGTTGAGCAGGGCGTAATAAGGAGCATATGACTTCACGCCACGATGTGATGTTTGGCAGTGTGCAGCATCCAATTCGTGTACTGAAGGTGCTGTCTTTGTCATTATTCCATAGCATATATCCCATATATGGTAGATCTAAGACATCCCCAAAGCTAGTGTTAGCCTAAGTCACATATACCGTGTAATGGACAGCTTAGACTTCAAGTCCATATAGTCATCGAATTTGTTTCCCGCCAAAACCACAAACAAATCATTACAATATTGAGCATTTTTATTACAATAGGCAATCGCAATGTCTCATTTACGGGCGTTGTTTCCATCAGACATTCGAGGTAGGCAGTCAGGGCGGTATTGCAAGAGGCTGCTTCACAAGCTGCGATTGGAAACTGCGCTGGAAACAAGGCTGCTATTTTCGTACGGCGCGCAAAGTCAGTGGTTTGGCAACAAGTGAAAACGAATGAGTCCCAACTGACCATTGACTAGAGGCGACACATGAAAGCAGGGCAAAACACTCAGAATGGAAGGATAGATACAGAAAGGGAGGCATAAAGTGAGACATCGTACGGAGTGGCGCGGAAAAGGAAGTGGAATGATGAGAAAATCAATGAGACGATTGTAGCTTTCGAGGCATTGTGCATGAGTGAAAATGAAGCAGTGCAGAATAAATCATTTGCCCTCAATAGAAAGCGCGTATTTTCAAGTGATTGAACAGATTGGCAGTAAGTAAGATGTCGACCAAAAAAACTGAAGGGCTGAGACAAAAAACATACATCTTTTGATATTCACAGCTTTTTGAGCAGGTAGGCCGATAAATCACAAGCGATCCCGTCATAAGAATGGAAATATTTGAAGAAAAAACAATTGAAAGCCCCGAAGTAAAATTATATTGAATTTTAGTGAAGCAAAAGAGTTTGAACAAAAATTGAGCAATTTCAACAGATTTCAGGCAACGTATAAACAATATGCGTGCAAAGGAATGGATTGTCATTCGAAGTGCAGGTGAGCAGGAGCGAAACGAGCAAGGATAATAGCATCGGATGGCAAGATCAACTACTGAAAGAGCGTAGCAGATGAGCCTTTCGAAGGCCGATAATGTACAGTTGCGATTCAGTTTGCCTATATCGACTGTCTAACATCTCCGCATATAACAAGGCCCACATCTAATACCGATATGGGGTCTGTAACAAAATCAACATCAACAGAAAACAGCGTAACGTTCTGACAACAAGGGTAACACGTTGAACAACAACTCAACATCAGGCACACATCACAGGCCATGCAACTGAAGGTCGTGACACGTGGCACGCGTCACAAATCCTCCAGTGCCGCGCAAAACTCGTTCTCACGACATTTCTGGGTTGTTTTTGATAGTCCGTGGAAGTTTTTTTCGGCTTACTCGGTGCTCCACGAATCCTCGAAGTCCTTCTGGAGCTGGTTCATCCAGACCGAGTGGTCCACCTCCCACTCGTCCGTGTCCAGGCCACGGCCGGACGAGGTCAGGGCGCTACCGAAGGCGGCGGCAGCCAGGGCGGCCAGACCAAGACCGGCGCAGATCAGGATGATCGGCAGGATAACTGCGGAGAAACGGACGGAACAGACGTCAGACAGTGCCGAATGTGCAGACTTATTGGCAATGAAGATACCCGGGTAAGCTAAGGGAGTCAAGACAAATGTTGAAAACCGTCCAAGACAACAATGCTCTAAAGAACAAAGGCGATATTTACTCTACCCTTGATATCCAGCATTTATAGATAAATGCGTTGGAAAGCTGCAAATTGTGCAGGCGTAGTTAAAACCACCGCACTTCGGCACACGATAGGATGTCAGTCATGCTCCAACCCCTAGTTCTGCCCGGTCCCGCCGAGCGACCACAAAACCCTAACAGGCGTATCCTAGCGGTGAAACCGCACAGCTAACCTAACAGCCACCTTCGTCCGCGTAAAAACGCCCGTGAACCCGCGGCCTCTATCAGCGGCCGCTCCTCCCAGCAGGCACGAGGCAAAACCAACTTCCGCTAGCCCCTGTGACCGTTTGACCGAGTATGGCAGAGGGATGAACCGATCACTCTCTCTAGGTCACCCCCGCGCCCTCGCCGCCCCCTCCCCGCCGAGGCAGACGCTCGGGCCAGTTATTCGGTCTGCAGTGTGCCTTGAGGGCAGGCGATCTTCCCGGTCGGGCGCCGGGGCCGCTCGGGCGCCGGGGAGGGTGCGCCCGGGGCGCCGGGTGGACTACGGGGGCGCCACGCCGAGTCCCGCCTCTGAGGGCGCCGGTGTGACCCAGTGACGCGTCGTCTCCGGTTTCGCAGGCCGGAACGGTTAACGGGGTAGCTCGGACGCATCTGGCGAGGTCGCTGAGTAGTTCGGGACATCTCCGCTAGGCGGCGGTGGGCGCGCCGGTGGTGGTCGGCCCGGAGCTCGTGGCAGTCAGAAACCCCGCCGCTCACCGGCTGATCAGTGAGCAGTGAACGTGCACCTTGCTCACCCGAAAAGGAATGCACGGCTCATGTTTTAGTCAACAGAGAAACCAACTGATGCTGCTTTTTGATCAGGGACACACGACCGATACAACTGGGACAGTGGAGTGTCTAGGAGACAGCCCTGTGATGCACCCGGCGATGCAGGACATTGGTCAGCGCCGCAGGGCGCTCCGTGCCGGCACGTGCTCACCTCACGCACAAGTGGGTCAGCCGGAGGCCGGCGCAGAGATACCTCATTGCATACGCCGTCCGGGAGAGCCCTCGCACACGCGGCGCATAACTGCAACGCTAGACTTGGAAGCGTGTGGCGCTCCTTGCGTTTGAGCTTTAGGTGGAGGCCCTGACAAGGATTGCTGGCCTCATGTGACTCGATGGCCCAGAAACACTCCCGCTTTTTACACATCCCTCCCTCCCTTCCCCTCCCTCCATTCCTCTCTCCCTTCCTTTTAGTTCCTCTCCTTCTCCAGTTTAGGCCTCACTTCTTCCATCCCTCCCTTCCTCCCTCTATCCCTTCTCGCCGATTCCCTCGTCCTCGCTCGAACTCACTGTCGGCAATGCCGGGCCCTCCCTTGGCGGGGGCGTGGTAGGAGGGTCCGTAGCTGGGAGCCGAGTAACCGCTGCTGCCCGAGTCGTACGAATCGTACGAGCTGCGGCGGAACAGGCTGGGGAGAGAGGGAGATGCAGATGTTACACGGGGGTCAGGGGGTTCATGAGCGGTAGACACTCGCATTCACAGGTCATTACATTTCGAATTGACTTGCTAGGCTCTTTTAAACGGTAGGATCGATTCAATATAATTTGATATTGTTTCATAGCACAGATGCAGCGTTAGTTCCATATCTTGTTTTAGAGCCGCAGCCACTATGAAGCCGCGCATCGCTAATTTATTATAATATTTCACAATTCTAATAGCAGTAAAATACCACCATTAGAGGGAAATACCCATTTGACAACGTTTCTTTTGTCAGAAATTTATCAAATGATAAGATGACTCTAGCACTGTGCTTAGTTTTTCGAAAGACCACCACTCACTTCTGGACCCATCCGAAGGGCGAGTAGGAGGCCTTTTTGACGGGCCGCGGCCTGTACTGCTGCTGGTAATAGTTGTTGCTGTACTCGGGGGATCCCAGCTCCTGGGCGTACTCAGTGTCACGCTTCTGGAGCGAGCCTGTGGAAAAGGAGAGATAGTGTCAGACATCTGGGCAGGCGTAGTGCCCCTTGTCTGAAGGGATCCTATGAAAGTTTGATAGAAATGTCAAAAGTCTGATCAGACATAAAATCGAAGTTTATTGGACTCATTTTTTATTGGCTAGGGGCCATCCTCGCCTACATTTGCTTATTTTGGTCTGTCACGGCTACAAAAAGAATGTCATAGGCCATGTGTGGTTTGCATGTTCACCGATGAAAGAGCTGTGCAATGTCTTTGATTCATTGCAAGGTGTTGCAAAAGATGTCGCTTGCGAGTGGGTGATAATCATCCTACTAACTGCACATCCCCACCGCATCGACCATCTGCCTCCGGTGAAAGCCAAACGAAGCATAAGACATACATCTTCAGCTTCGCAACACACTTTTTCTAACCGTCACACACAATTCATTTTCATCATCTTCGGATCCTAGTGAATCTCGGACGCTGCATCAGACCGTTACAAACAGCTGACTCTGACTCTCGAATTTGTACATTTCCACCACCGCCTTACGGTGGCAGCACCGAACAGGCCCACACTCCACTGATTGTGCAGTCGCCTCGGCTCGTTGCTCCCCGAGAAAGTCTGAGAGATTCGCCGTGTGAGCTCCCTGCAATCGAGTGTGCAAGCAGCGCGCGCTTTGGTACGCTTCGGCACCGGCGGTGGGAACTGGGAACCCTTCACCGCCCGCCGCCACCGCCGCCGCCGCCGCCGCCGCCGCCGCCGCCGCCGCCGCCGCCGCTGACCGCTCGTCGCCGTTCGCTGTCCGGCAGTGTGACACGCCAGCTAGTCGTCCCACTGAGCTAGTGGCCCGTATGTCCACTGAACTACACCACGCATATCAATGTGGTCTGTGGGCGACGGCTCGACACGGATACCGACCGTCTCTGTGGTGGGGAGAGGGGTGGGGGAGGCGGGTAGAGGAAGGGGGAGGCGGGGAGAAAAGTGGGGAGGAGGGAAGGCTTGAGATGCTGAGGAGTTGATAGTGAGGAGAGGAGGAAGTAGGATGGAGAGGAGAGAGGATAGGATAAGAGGTAAGGGAGTGGAGAGGTGAAGGAGGAAGAAGAGGAGCGTGGCGGGGCATAGTTGGATAGATCGGGAGCGCAATGAAGATATAGTGTGTGGGAGAGTGAGAGGGAGAGAGGGAGAGGGGAAGATAAAAATTAAAGAGCAAGCTGAGCTGGTTAAAGGAATCGAAGAACAGCAATGAGGCGATTCAGGCTGAATGCGTGATTTAGAGGGCCTGCGAAACCCGATAGAAGAAAAGGGATAAAATAAGAACATCTGGACCAAACCGTTCAGCGCGCTGTGCAGTTGCGCTCACTGGCAGTGAAAGGAGAGCTCCACGAGAGGGAAACAGTGCCACCATTCATCTCCCATCATCAATCCGCTGGTCAATGAAGCGTGTTAGACTGCATGTCAGCAGTCTGCAGATCATCGGTGGCCGAAATTTCTCCCGGAGAGCCCCGTCCCAGCAGCAGGGGTAACGGTGTTACGGCTGGATGAGACGATCCATCTGTCACGGGGCTCAGTGACAGGTGTGACAGGTGGGACACCCGTCACCTGGTCTCTCTCTCTCTCTCTCTCTCTTTCTCTCTCTCTCTTTCTCTCTCTCTCTCTCTCTCTCTCTCTCTCTCTCTCTCTCTCTCTCTCTCTCTCTCTCTCTCTCGCAGACCCGGCAGGAAGTTCAATCAGCAGGTGTTTGTGCTGCTGTCCCTATCAGCACGGACCATCAGTACGCAGAACCAGCACATTCGTTCGTCCGGAATGCCCTACAGAGTTTCGTGACCCCAATCAAGATACCTATAAGAAACAGGTAGATCCGATGTTTGAAAGTAAAGCCCCAGTCACAAATTTGACGCACCTGTGACATTTCCTGACACCCACGTGACTATTGTATTAACTTTTGTGTTTTGCGATGTTTTGACCTTATTTGAAGTACTAAAAGCTCAAAATGTATGGTTAATGTTGTTTAAAGCAGCATATTAATAATTATATTTGTAAATTATCGATAAGCTGCTTATAGCAGGTCACGTGATTGCTACCAGATTATGTGCTCAGAAAGCATCTTTTCAACTTCGATTTTGAACAATTTTTACCTCCTTTGAGGCCAAATGATGGACGGTTTGAGGCACACGATGAAATGCTGAATCTATTGATGCCAAAATTTGTTCGTTTTTTGCATTTTTAGACTAGTATATCCTGGCTCAAACTTTGACCAGTTTGTGTGTAAACCCTATGGTGAAGGGAAAACTTCACGCCCAGCAGGCCTCATTACAGTGCTGCCAAATCGTGTTTGGTGGGGGTCGGCCCCAATTGCTGAGTTGGCCCGTACCAAGGCTCGCCGTTACTAGGAAGATGTTCGGCGCTAGACGAAATGCAAAGAGGCAAGTCTGGCAAGGCGCTGAAGTTAGAACGACTGTATCGAGTGAATTTAGCACGGTTTGGAAAGAAATGTACGTCGCCATTTTGATTTTACAGTTATAGAAAACCGGGTTAGCGCTGCTGATTGGAAACCGCACTGACTCCCGCTCAGGTGGAGAGAAGCCAAAGTTAACTGGAAGCATAACCAGTGGGAATTACTACCTGATGGCGTGTGGAACTGCGGCTCAATGTCTGCCGATGCGGCGGGCGCACGCTCTCCCCAGGCTCTGGGCCAGTTTCTCCGTGCAATGGCCTCCGAGGAGGCGTTCGGCCCCGGTGGGGAGGCCTCAGTCAGGGCGACCGCCTTCAAGACCCGTGCCGGATTCAGTAATGAGGTGTAATTGAAGCTCGGAGTGGGGTGTAATTGAAGCCAACCTCCGGACAAAGGTAAATGATGGATGAGCTCGAGAAGGGTGTAACGTCAGTTCATGAATCCCGCCGCAGCATTCAACGCCCAGGGGAAGAGCGAATTTCCAGCAACCCGTTATCAAACCTCCTAATGATCATATCACTTCCTGGTCTGCGTAACTCTCATGGCGATCTCTCTGTGGATCATTGCTGGCCATCAAATCGTGCAGTGGTTGTTAGACCAACCCGACAGATCATTGTATGTCGATGCATCACTTTCACTTTCTTCTCTCGGTTTCCGACGCGGAAGAGTTGTCAGTGCGCTGCTGCAGGCGGGAAACCACGTGCATTGGGGCCACGCTTTCTATGCCGCGGGGCACATGACAGTCTCAACGCTGGCCGAGAAGGGTGCGGTTCGGGAGGCGGACTGGAGAGCGTCCCAAGCTCGATATTTGGTGGTCAGTGCATGGAAGCTGATGCAAGACGCCACGAGGGAACTTCCTAGCTTATTTCATGCAATCAGCTATGATGTTTTATAATTGGATTTTGAACGTTTCTCCAGTAGACATATCTTTGGGCTGGTGGTGAAAAGTATTGCGGCGTTGGGTTGCAAAGTTACGGACAAAAAGCTAGTGGGGATATTTATTCATCCAATGACAAATTGAAATTTTGCGCTGATCAATGTCGTGAAATATTTGATCTAAGAGTAAATTCAGCGATATGCAAACGAAATGTTATCGACGAATATAACACATTTGAACATAATTTTGTTGAGAAACCATAGTTCACTTATTCCAAATGCGAATAATAATAGTGAGCAGTTCAGTTAGAAGCACATTTTGCAATGCTTTTGGTTGAAATTCAAAAGCACGAACTGTGAAATATTGATAAGCTGTGAACATATATATGCAATTTATGAACACCCGGCAACTTCGTGCCAACCCGGATGTTTGTGAGCTCACGGGGAAAACCAGCCTTCTCCCATCTGATCTCAAAAGGAGATGTTATTCCATTCACGCGGCGTCCTCATCTCTTCAATAGGGGCGGCTCTACCTACAGAGAAGAACCCGAGTGAAAGCCCTACCGCCCTGCTCCCATCTTCGTGCAGTAATGTGTTTACCCGGAACGGACACCGGGTCATAGGGAAACGAAAGTTCACCGGGTTCAGGCGTCTGAATTCATCGCTGTTTGGCCGGCGACAATGATTGAGTGGAATGAGGCCCGTGAGCTTACAGGGTGCATATAATGCGAGCGTTATTTCATGGCAGAAAAGGACGCGCCCTGCTATATAGGCTTAGCTAGGCTAATGCGCCATTCTTCAGCCTGCTAGTCAAACCCTCTCGCTAGACTAACGCGACTATTGTAGTGAACTATCTCCTTCCCCGGGTTTCATATTCACCTTGACAGACCGCCACGCAGGCAAGGGCGCAGATCACCAGTGCAGACATACGAGCCATCGCGGATCCTGAAAGCAGGGCATGCCTCGGTTAATGACGCTTCCAATGACACACTTGCAACGGCGGCAGTATGCTCGGTGAAAGTGGTTCGTTCACAGCGCCACGCGCCGGACGATGAATAATTGGTCGGCAATTCGGTGCGGTCAGTGCAGGCTGCACAGAAAGTGGCGTGAGTCGACGGAATTTGGAGTCGAACGGACGGAGAGTCGGGGAGAATAGGCGAGTGGGAAGTCTGAAAGGAACGCCGTGTTGACACTGGGTAAATATGCGGAGGAAACGGGCGGATACACTGGCGACAGGCTGGCTCGAGAGGTGATTCAGCGTTTGACAGTCAGCTGATGAGTAGAAGGCGAAACACGTGACATACATTGTGGCTTAGTGTAGTTAGAATACAAAATAACATTCACAAACCACATGAAAAAGAATGTGAGTGATTTTGAGAAAACGTGCTAAATTGGAAAGATTGTGTGTTACAATTGTATCCAACGTTATTATAAGCTCAGATACTATTTTATTTTACCGTTCACGGGTGGAGAATGTCTGAAAAAGTTACCCCGGCCGGCGACCGAAAGTCAGGAAGACGATGATGCTCAAATGTTTGTCAACGGTTATCAACAAACCCCTATTCTGTGGCATAGAATAATGGATGTCTGCCGTTTGTACGTTTTTAGGGAAAACTGCTGCACGCAGATGCGGAAGATTTCGTAATTGTAACAACAATTTTGCAACACGCCTTAAAATTTCGGACGCATGTCACCTAGTGCTAGGTCAGGTCATCAGGTCAAATTTGCTGGATGATCGTGCTAAAAATGCCATCGTGCCCTTTATGCAAAGCTTATTCCGTAGAAGTTGCAACCTTCCCACACAAAACAAAATGTCAAATTTGACCGTTTTGACCCTCTTATTGATTTGAGCTCGCACCTGAAATATTATTCGCGACCGAGCCTTAAACGAGTAATCGAATGTTTTGTTTGCAGTGTTATGTCCATGCACTGTGAGAAAAGTTGTCGGAGAACGCTAAAATCAAAGAAATTTGGCTTTTGATGATCTATGGTGATTTTATTATTGAGCTTGCCTAAAACATGACCAGATTACTCTGATCACGTTTGTCGCTCTTTCAAACGTCGTTCCGCTTCTCGCCTCGTAGCCAAGTAGCCGAGTTAGAAGGAGCGTGAAAAGCCCACCTCTCGACTCAACGTGTTACGATAAGGCCACCACCCTGGCGCGGGTTAAGTTGGGGGAGCCTTGAGCCTTGAGCCCCAGCAGCTCGTCTTTCTATCTCACTGATATTACCCTCGTCCTGTCTTGTGATGTTATTACAGTGCCATCTTACGATAACGGCCCTTAAATATGATTTACTTCTGTTTGATGAAACATGTCGGGCTCCGTGAAAAGACTTAAAAACATAGAAGCTCCAAAATGAAAATAAAGTAAATTTTCAAGAACTTTTCAAGGTAGATAAGAATAATGCGAGACGCTTTTATAGATGGCGGTTTTTTCGTATGGAGACAGCTTTTCGGATTTACAAAAGTGGAAAAGTTACCCCGGCCGCGCCGGGGTCGGCTGAAAGTTACCCCGGCCACGGCCGGGGTGGCCGGGGCAGGTTCTCCACCCATGTTACCGTTTATGAAAAGCCGCTTGACAACCATTGACGAGTAGTAAACCATTTATTAGAAGAGCTTGAAAAGTTCTTGCACCGTAGCACAATACGTGTAGGTATGTCTATCGGAATTAGAAACTAGACTGTAATTTGGATAGCTCCAACCGATTGGAAACGTGAAATTAGTTGTTGATTCTATGAACATTTGCATGGCATAAATCAAACCAAAATATCATAAGTCTATTCTCAAGTCAACTCCGTAAACTTGTCTGCATTACAACAGAAGAATCAATAAACAATATCTGTATTCAACTGTGCGTAGCTATGGCATTCATATTTTACATAGATAACTATGGGGCTCTAAAAGAATGCCGCTCTGTTTTATTTGTTCGCCGTATTTGTAGCAACACTGCATTAGCACCGCACCTATGAGCTGCATGGTGACAGCAACTTTTTCTTAATCAGCCAATGACTTTTTCAGACATGCTATTCGAAAGGAAAGCTGGATAGGTTCAGAAGAAATAAAAAAGGAAATAGACAGACAGAAACACTGGAAAACTTAACAAGAATGGAGATGAAGAAGAGAGCAAAATAGAAATGTAAAAGAAATGAAATAATATAGGTAGAATAAATAATGAGAAAGCCAAAAGGAAAAGCTAGACAGAGGCAGGCATTTAGTCAGAGACAAAGATATTGTCAGAGATAGAGACAGAGACCCAGAAACAGGAAATAACAGAGACAGTGTCAGAGAGAGAAGACGGAGAGAGAGAAGACGGAGCGAGAGGAGCCGGCGTCAGGCCGGCTGAGTGGGGCTCGTCATTGCCGCTCATTGGCATTCATTGCGGTCATCGGCAACGCCCCAGGTGACGGTGAAAGAGAGAGTTGGAGAGAGGGCGAGAGCGCGGGAGAGAGTGTGAGACTCGGCTGTGCAGTGAAATCGGCCCGCCCGCCGGCCCCGGGGGCACACTGCCGGATGCAGGGCGGCTGGCACAGACAACCCGGTCCCCGAGGGCTAACGGTGAAATCAACGGAGTCTGAGACCGCTTGGCATGATGTGGTTGAAGAAAAGACTGCAAGAGGCCCGCTGTTTTGGGTGGGGTGCCTCAACAGAGCCGGGAAATGGCCCATGGGAAGGAAGATATCTGACATGCGTAGAGGAGAAACGAAAATAGCAGGATGCAGCGTGGTAAATAAAGAGATGATTGCTATCAACTAGATGACTGGACAACAATTCTTTTGAACATGCTCTAGGTAGGGTATTACGAGAAAATGGAAAGTCTTGATCCACAAATGGCCGTTATTTAGATGCAGGTGGTTATTTAGCGATGACTTGGTCGCTGTGAGGCATTGTGGAAAGTAAATTGCGATTTTCTCTAACAATGATTTACTTGGTCACACATGATTTCGAAAGTACCTGCTAGGTATAAGTGATTTTTATTATTCGTAAAAATATTGAAATAGGTAAAACTTTATATTTTTCCAAGCCATCGACTGTTGATGCTAATTGTTAGGTTTCTGGACTTCAAACTTCTCAATTGGCTCACAAAGTGGTAAGTCTTCTCGCCCGCATTAATTTTTACTGCACTGCTTTGCACTGTTCTTTACTGTAGGTACTTCTGCCTCATTGGAAAAAAAAATGTTCATCTGGCTACCAAAACGGAATTGAATGAAATTGAATTTTGTCATGAGGAAATAATCGGACAATTTGTAGGTATGAAACAGCACAAGTCATAAGCTTCGAAAAGCCTTTGAAGCTTTATAAGCTTTGAAGCTTTATAAGCAAACGAGCAATCGAGAAAATAAGTTTCTTTTTCCTCATATACCTAATTCGAGCAGTCACTAGAAATTGGGAGCTCACAAATTTCATGAGCATGGGTGCAACGAGTCTGATCGGGTGCAATGCAGGAAGACATGGTCCAGGCTTACGACATTCAGAACGGCTACTGCCATCTCTCGTGAAATACTACTCTACAAGTGTGAAAGCCGCCAATACTGTGCAGCTCGGTCGTCAGAGGTAAAGTGGGGACACTTTCACTCAACAGATGTCAGCACCGTTGCGTCTGATTTCCAGCGCAGAGGGCGCTGTCACCAGCCACCGTCCTGGCCTGCCACCGCGTATCAGCAACTTACACTTCAGCTTCTAGTCCTGCCAATAGATCGCGACACTGTCGCCTCTAGAGCACTACCACTTCCCAAACCCAACCACTCAACCGCTAACTGGCTATCTCCAGTCCTCTCTCTAATCCTCCACTCCTCTCTCCTCTGCAGAGGCCCCACCTAACTGCACCGAGATGGCTCGGCAGAGCCGTAGGGGACGGGGCCACAGGGGACCGATAGGCAGACAAAGCGCGACACCTGCGCGCCGCTGAGGCCGCTCGCTTGCAACAAGTCGTGCGGGAAACGATGAGTTGCATGCCAAGTCGTGCGAGGCAGAGTGACGGTGCCGGAACGTGGGCTCAGAAGGGAGAGGCTCAGATTGAACGACTGGAGACAGTCGAGCATTAGGTTTGAGGAGATGGTTCGAAATCCTGATTTTTCCCGCGCTAAAAATAACAGGCAAGGGAAATATAATTTATATGGAAGCAAGATATTGCAACGGCAATACAATGGGTATAATATTTTGATACCGCAGCAAAAAGTGCGCAATAGTTTTTAAGTATTGATAAGAAATAAAGTAGTGCATTTTTATAAATCAATACAATATCGGACATGTTTCTAAGAATTCATGAAAAGTGTCCCGGCTGGATAAACGGCATCAAATTACCCCAACCGCAATGCAAATCGGGTGACAACGTGCCACACAACTGGCACAAAATGCGTGTGATTTTTCCTCGCCAACGGTCACACGACAGGGACGGAGGCGCCGTGGGACTCGGGGTATGATATATGACATGAGGCGACCTCGGCAGGTCCTAGACTAGCTCATTCACAGTGGCCTGGTCATAAACAGACCACAAATGGCCGAAGAAAAACGCTTGGTTCATTACTCTACTAGCTTGAGGCTGCGGGGCAGTGTAAGCTTATTTTATCGTTGCATGGCACGCATGCTAGAATGACCGCTGAATACGGTGGGCAGAACTGCAAGATGACCCGTAATGCGTTGAAGTGTCTTTGACACAGGGTTAAGACCATTTAGCTGAGATACGAGAAGAAAGTCAGCAAGGGCGCGGCACAAACATCCTTATGGGGATGCTTTCGTGGGCTTTCCGTGTCGTTGAGAGGCGAGAGAAAGCGCCTCCCAGCGGGAAGACATGACCTCTTGGGCGGCAACCCTTTCACCATCACGATTCTAGTCATAAAATATTACATCCACCGGCTTTAGTGAGGCCGAACACACTCACATCAGCTCTGTCGTATCGTAGATCAGTTCAATGCAGTTTCTGTCATATGCCTTATCGCGTTATGCACATAGCTGTCAGAGGCACGGGGATGAGGTACAGAGATTGGCGTGCGCGGGCGCGCAGTGGGTTAGTTTTTCTTTTTGCAGAGATGCAGTCTCGTCGGGAAGCGGGGACGGACCTAGTTAGGTTTTTGTGCGGCGTTGGGGTTCTCAGGGATATGAAGTTACCTTTTTGTACGCTATTTGCTGATCGAAACGGGAGGTTTTAACAGGGGATCCTATCTCTGGGATAGGGCGAAAAACGCCCAATGGTGCTCTCGAGACTACCATAAAGTTTTCTTTTTACTCAGGAATGCTACCAATGTATGCTAAATTACGTTGACATAGCTTTGTAAAGCGACCAGTTCAACGGAACGCCTCTTTGAGATGCAAGGTACGGTTAAACACTGACCTTTCATTGGTCTTTGGAGCTGATCTTTATCGCTATTTTAGCATTCTGCTGAATACGCGGCTGACTGTGCCCATTTGCCAGCATGACAAGCCAATCCTGCATCTCTCTGAAGGTCCACGCAGCCAACTGCGCACTGCACCTCTCTTCAGACTCTCCAATCAGTCCTATCACCTGTATAATTGGACAGATTCGCCTCAGGTGTGAAACGCTGCGCACGTGGAGATCGGCGACCGATTTTAGTCACCACACTCCAAACATATGAGAGGATATATTCCCACTTAACGGCCTAAGCTCTGATTTACGTCGACGGCCTAATCACCGACTGGTCGACGCTGCGGTGCAGCCAAGAAAAACTGCCGATCTAGATGTAAAACTGCGGGCCTGTGCATTGCACGCGTCGAGCAGCACGATTCATGATCTCCTGCGAGCGTCTGCAAGCTGAGCCCACGACAGCGTGCACCACAAGGAGCCTTGCAGGAGTCCTTCAACACAGAGCCATCCTCTCCATGGAGTGGCCATCCTGGGCGGGCAGGCTAGGTCCGGTTGGGAAACCCAAACGTCCCCGGCGGTGACCATTGCCTGAGGTCAGGCCTTTCCGAGCAGACGGGCAGCTGCGCCAAATGATCACCCTCCCACAGTCGGGGCGTTTTGGACGCGAAGGTCACAAGGTGGACAGTGGTTAAGTGATACAGGATGTGAGATTGCATGAGTAATGCTCAGCGTTGAGCTGAAGTGCATGCAACCGTTTGGGAAATAGCGAAACTCCTCAATTATTTCGTTGTTTAGTGCTCGTCATGGCATCATGAATGGAAATAGAACAGAGCAACGGTGTGAAGTAGTTTGTGTTCTAGGAAACTCCGAACATAATTCATCGAAGAACGACAGGTTTCGAACTGAAAATTTGAATAAATTCATTTAAGCTTATAACCTTCACTACTTGTCTCGGACTAAAACAAGAATTAGTTGTGTGCTGAGCAGGGACGCACAATGTTTGCCGAGGGATTCTCTGCCAACTGGGACCTCCTTCAGATGACGCAGTTCTGCCGTTCAAACACTCAGTCCGAACTGCCGGCGTAGTAACTCGAAACTCGCCGTGTAAACATGGGCCATAGCTTCTGAAGGAGGCAGAACACTCTCACTACACTCATGGAGCCATTGAGATGAACTACTATCGCGATACACTTGTTTGGCTTTGTGTGCAGAAAATCTGACATTTTAGCAGCACGTGTAAGCCTATTTCTTAATTTTGAAAACAATTGTCATGCAAAAATAAACTTACGTTTTCGAATTGTTTGGACACGCTTATAGAAATTACATGTTTCCCTCAAGCATCATAATTTCCCGTAACCAGCAAATCTTCAACGAAAACAGCAATGAAAGTGAAGAGTGAAGCCAATTATCTAGCATGAAACACGACATAACTGATTTCATTACAATTTGAACCAGGCGGCACTGGTTCTAGGTATAATCGAAATACCATCTCGCCAACGCATCGAATTCCATTTGCACCTGTCCTGCGCGGCCGGGGCGGCAGTGAGTGTGCCGTACCGAAACTGGCCATGACTCGGCACCTCAGCGGGACCCGCAGCACACATTAGCATTACGTTGCTGACCTATCCCACTGGCGGCTGACACTGGCGCAGGGGCCTCGCCGGCACTGAGGTAGGACGCCTGTACGCGCGGCTCAGGGCCACCGGCCGCAGCCCGGCGCCGGCTAGCGAGCGCTAAAAGAATTCACGGCGATTCTAAACCAGTTACTGAAAATAATAAATGCAAAGAAAGTGAAAATAATTTCTTTTTAAGAAACATGGTTTAGAGCGAAGCTTTGCTATAGCTTTTAGTCCAAATGTGTTGTGCATATTTTTGCAGTAAAGATCATCAGCAGGTGCATTGGAATTACGATTTGATAAATACGGAAAGGTCTCTTATCATTCATTTGGTTAACAATCGGTCTGTGTGTGTTGAGGCAGGCGACTTTGAAGGATTACGCTTACATTACAACTAGTAAAACCAGACTAGCCGGATAGTTGGGCCTCAGTAGACAAGAATGAAGCCAAACCAGAAACTAACCGGAAGATCCAGATATACCGGAATGCTAAGAATAGAATCGGCCGTGAATTCTAAACAAGAGTTTCGACCAGACAAACTGGTCATACTTGTAACCGCACATATCATCCATGCTGATTCGGTCAGCACGATGGCGTATGAGGCTGTAAAGATGGATACCTGTTCATGCTTTGGCAAATGGAGCAAAAGAGAATGCACTCACAAGTGCTTATCTTTTACCAAGGATTTCTGATTTTATGCGTCATGACGCGTCATGACGCATGACGCGTCAATTAATCAGAAGCAATATCGACTTTTTTGTCTTTTCTAAATAAAGAAGAGAATAAGCAAATAACCTCAAGAAGAAACGTCGAACATGAATCAAGATTAATATGCAAACACGAAAGCGCGCCCGCCCATGCACATCGAACATAGAAAGGTCACGGGCTGAGGTTCGCTGCGCACAGCTGCAGAGATTACCGAGACTAAGCCGCGGAGGGCACGACATGACCTCCTTGAGAAGAGGCGAGTCCGGCCACGTGCAAACTGCAGTCATCGTGTTTTGCAAATATAGAAACATTCTAGCCACAGCTTTGAAAATGCAAGACTTCTTGAAGTCTCGAAATTTTTCTGGAATACAGGAATAACAAATCTCACGAGCCCATTGAGAAAATCGAAGCACTCGATTTTTTAGTGCTCGATGCCATATCGCGTGCCTATGTCGCTTATGCATTCAGTTGGTTTCGCACGGCGGTTTTATCGCCATCACGACCCTTTAGACGGAACAGACTGGCTCAGAGCGAAGTCAAGCGTTACGAAATGTCTGGCGGTGGTGGAATTTCCAGGGCGGTAGCGGTCACCGGGGTAGCACGTGCAGACGAGGTCGTGATGTAGCTGTAGAGAGGGAGGAGCTAGATGGCAGCGTCGTGATGCACTCGGGTAGAGGGAGGAGGAGCTGCGATGTGGCTGGGTAGAGGGAAGATGGTGGATGAAAGTGGGATGGATTTGCTATTGAGTAAAAAGATAAAAATGTTTTTAGATGAGTGATACTTCTTATATTTTATAAGATCATCTGACATTACCGCTGTATGACTTATAAAGCGCGCTTTAGGTATTTTTTTTTTAGCATTATAGTATAAGCTTCAACAGGATTTTCATGCTTGATTTTAGCATTTGATTGTAACTGAAGTTTTAACTTCTGAGCTAAGGTGGATATAACTAGGTATGTAAAGTGTTAGCTAGTTTTTCTACTTTAAAATTAAATAGCTTATTATTTTTCCATTTTTTCTACTTTCTATGAAGCCTTTGCTCTGTATTATAGAATAATGCTTGAAAACTTTTCATTCACACCTTGCATTGGTGTGCACAATCGCGTTCTCTTCAATCCGGAAATCTGTTAGCGATTTTACAATTAGCTTGAGTCCTTAGACCAAAATGCTAGGTATGAAACGAACCCGTAAAAATTGTGTTGCTGACTTTTATGATTGTTTTGTCAATTTTCATATTTGCTATTTTGACTGGTAGATAATAAAACAAATTTTCTCTGCTTCAGTAGGAAAGGAAATGGTGACTTGCGTATTTTCAAAAAAAAAAGAACACAGACTTGAGACAGACAGTGGAGTCCCTCCCACAGAACGTCAGCCCGCGTCACTCACTCACCGTTTGGGGGTAATTCCACGGGTTCGGAAGATGTAACCACCACGAGAGCTGGTCGACCACTGGGATGCCATTCTCCGGCCGTCTGTACCTTTTATACCGCCCTGTTGCGTCCGGGCCGCAGTCAGAAATTTTCATTGAAAACTAGGCCACACACTCGCTCTGTGCAGCATTTTCGCCCACTGACTGACTCGGAAGAAAATTTCACCGAGCGAAGGCTGGGCTTCCAGCGGCCATGCACCGCCCCTCCGGTGGTCAGAAAACTCGATAATCCGACACACACCAGCCAACAAACGTCCCTGCAGTAATCTTTCTTCAACAGTGGTGTCGTTATCATTTACAGAACATTTCCATCTCAAAATTATTTCAAATTCATTCGTTCTCTATTTTTAATAATTTTCAATCAGTGCTGGATAATCGAGTGACTTTTGTCCGCGAAGACGATTGAGCCCTCTCGGAACGGTGGGCGGAGCCTTGCTGGCGCGCATGGTAGAGGAGTTGCTTGTGCGCTCCGACCGCCGCCGACCCGAGCGCCACATCACTGGGTCGGGTCGAGGTGATCGGAACAGAGTCGCCACCACCAGACAGCACCAGCCAGCACCAGTGGTGATCTTCGTTGGATTTCAGTGATCAGTGCGTCCGATATTGTGCAGTGCGTCTCTTGCGAAGTGTTTGTGCGGTGTTGCGAGGTGATTGCGACCGGTGATTGCGAGCGAAAAGTGTCTGATGAGCGGACATTCGGTCGGAAAGGCAATATCGAAGTCTGGTGAGCGAGTGTGGATCGGAGGCACGTCTTGTAAGGATGCTTGTAATGGCATCACTACTGTCTTGCATTGCCATTGGACGTGCAGTGCACGTCACACTGATTTCAACAATCATCTGCTGTCAATATCGTAAATAGATGTCTGGCTTTGTAAAGTTCTTTTTTGGGCCAACGAAGCGAATTCCTTTTGTCGAAATGGATTAGAATGTAGCCATGGACATTGGACATCGATGGTCTCGAACAGCCGTAAACAGTGCAGTTATCTATACGTAAAAGCGCCACCTCGATGCATTGTTAGCAGCCATCAAAATCGCTATGACAAAAAGGTAAATGAGGCATCTCTATATAACAAAAAAAGTTACACAGGCTGAAACTGAATAGTGAACGAACAATGACTTGATCTGAGTGTTTGAAGAATCGCTTGAAAAATTGCGCTGATATACCTATTTTCACAACTGAAAGCTCCTTATTGCAAAACACATTTGAATATTAGCAAAAGCGTAGGCGAATGGCTTTCTTAATGAAATGGTACGCAGTGAGTGCCCTTGCGAATAATTGTTTGATGTGCATAAGAACTTCTATTTTCAAAAGGTCCTTTCGTCGATAGATGCTGAAATTGCAATAAAAAGTACCTAAATACTATATTTTTTGCCGGATTTTCGAACAGCAGCTCATTATCAAGCCGCTTGAAACAAATGACAGCAAAGTTTTGTAACTGCCGCCAGCTTATTTTTTTCTTTAAAAATGTTCTGAAATGGACAAGTATCATAGGAAATGCAAAAAATCGCGCTTGTTTTGTTCTTGCAAACCTCAAAGTAGTGCCTCAAAGTACACAACACTTTTCCCCGATCAACGGAACGAACACATTCTCGGAAATGATGTATGTTGTTTACTCTCAAACAACAATAATGTGGGAATATGCAATAGTAAACGTTTTAAAAGAATCAATGTTTTAAATACGCAGCGTGCTTTAGTAGGAATCGCTCTTCAATGTTGTTTATATCATAATATCAGGTGTCAAGTAAGCTGTTTCATTCTGTGGTTGAATACTGGTATTCGATAGCCCTGTTGACATTTACTAGCAAGTTGTCTTGCTTTTCTGCCAAGTAGCACCCTCAATGTATTTATAAATCATACGATAAAGACCGTTGACGATTGAGTTTGCATTCACTATCAGACGAGACACATGTCACTAACAGACGTCTCATGCAAATGGACGTTGAAAATAAACATATGTAAATATGACTAAGGGATATGAGAATCCGTGCAACTTATAAACACATAACACAAATCCAGCGGCATTTACGGAATAATGTCACTTTAGGGCAACTCTTTACATGTTGACACTGTAAACTAGTCAAATAAAGTCATCTGCGGCATTTATTCAGACATCTGTGCTGTGTAGACCTTCAAACACTTTGTTCTAATGATTTAGCTGATGTTGAGGGTGCATGCATTAGGACGTAAAAACTAATTAGTGTTGTACTAGGGTGACCCGCGTGCTCCGCAACGCGAAAAGGGATATTTTCGATCGGCGGGTGTTCGGTTGTTCTTGTGTCGGTTGGGTTATCTATCCATTTCGGTCGATTGCTTTTTGACGGCTAAACGTTTTGGTTTGTGGAAAAAATATCCACCGCATCGAGGTGCCCGTGTCTGGTAAGCATGCTTTCCACTTCAGAATCTGTCAAATGTGCTTTATAATTGAGGTGCGTAGTTTTAAGACAAATGAAAGGCGTAGATAATTTTCGCTAAAAATCGTTTTGCAGAGGTTTAAAACATTTATATTTTTAAGAATACTGTTGCTTGTCATGCAAACGTGATGATTGGATCTTGGAGAGAATTGAATGCTCTTTCTAATGATAGCATTTTCAATTGTCAAGCGTATCAGGTTAAGCAGCAAATCCCGTGTAACTTTTTAGTGGCACATTATGGACAAATACCATTTAATTCAGCGATTTTTTCCACATTGTTTTTGATCAATTAGCTGTTCACAATTTTTCCATGAGAGGCGGTACATTTCTCTTGCCAATTGACGTTGTTTCAACTCTCTCAGTCTGATGGTCACGGGAAAATAAAATAAAATCCAAAATCCGTTTAAAATGGCACTTTTTGAAATGAAATTGCCCTCACACTTGCACGTGGCGCGTGCCACCCCTGCACCGGACACTATTCGATTGCCCGTTCGATTCTCTACACGATGCTGTTTTCCCCGTGCCGATTGGGCGCACGGCTACCGAGATATTGCACGGGGAACGGACCCGTGTCGGGCAAATTTAGCCATTTTCGCCCGTTTTTGCCAGCCAATTTATACATGTAAAGTCTATGACGCGAATTTGCACTTTTTGGGCACGCGCCACGCGCTCGCTATCGATCCGATCGAGCCGAGACCGCTCAAAGGCACGTTATCCATCCTTGTTCTAAAACTTGCGCAAATTTCAGCGCGGTAGGTGCAACGGTGTGATCTGTAACCCGCGCTACGTAGCACCATGTCGCGACCTCGGTTACAGACAGAAACTACGTCACCTCAAATATTAGTGTTGTATTGGTGAAAGATAATACCAGTATAGCACCTTTTGGGGCGACTAACGGAGCGAGCGAGAGGGTCAGTCTTGCACGTGCGAAATTTCGAGGGGTACCTCTAACTGACTTGTGCACGGCACCCTAATAACCGGTCTCTAGCGATGTGCCAAATTTGGGCACAATCGGCCCAGCCGTTCTCGAGATCTGGAAGCAACACCCTGCACGTGCGCACGTGCGAAATGGGTCCCGACTGACTTTTGCACGGCACCCTACTAACCGGTCCCTAACTGTGTACCAAATTTGAGCGCAATCGGTCCAGCCGTTCACTAGATCTGGAATCGACCCCTGCACGTGCGCACGTGCAGCAGCACCCCAACTCTGGCACATGGATATGCAGTGCCCAGTGGGTGCCTACCTACATGCCAACTTTCAGCGCAATCGGCCAAGTAGTTACCGAGATATTGCAACAATTACAAAACTGACACCTCTTCGTTTTGCGCGTGGCACGTGCATAAGGGGGCACCCACATGCATCGGGAATAGTCCAATACTTGGTAGAAGGAATGAAGCTACCCTACAAAAATTACCCCGTGTAAATCGGTCAAGTGGTTACTGAGATATAAGCCTCGCAAAAGCGTCCGCACGGCCGGCCGGCCGGCCGGCCGCTCATACTCAGAAATTTCTGTTAATCTAAGGAAAGACTACGCTCGCTTCGCTCGCTCCGTAACCAGTATAACGCCTTTTGGGGCGACTAACGGAGCGAGCGAGAGGGTGGGCCTTGCACGTGCGAAATTGCGAGGGGGTACGTCCAACTGACTCGTGCACGGCACCCTACTAACCGGTGTCTAGCGATGTGCCAAATTTGGGCACAATCGGCCCAGCCGTTCTCGAGATCTGGAAGCGGCACCCTGCACGTGCGCACGTGCAAAATGGGTCTCAACTGACTTGTGCACGGCACCCTACTAAACGGTCCCTAACTGTGTACCAGATTTGAGCGCAATCGGTCCAGCCGTTCTCGAGATCTGGAATCGACCCCTGCACGTGCGCACGTGCAGCAGCACCCCAACTCTGGCACATGGATATGCAGTGCCTAGTGGGTGCCTACCTACATGCCAACTTTGAGCGCAATCGGCCAAGTAGTTACCGAGATATTGCAACAATTACAAAACTGACACCTCTTCGTTTTGCACGTGGCACGTGCATAAGGGGTCATCCACATGCATCGGGAATAGTCCAATACTTGGTAGAAGGAATGAAGCTACCCTACAAAATTTACCGCATGTAAATCGGTCAAGTGGTTGCTGAGATATAAGCCTCGCAAAAGCGTCCGCACGGCCGGCCGGCCGGCCGGCCGGCCGCTCATACTCAGAAATTTTCGTTAATCTAAGGAAAGACTACGCTCGCTTCGCTCGCTCCGTAATAATTCTCCAATCAGAGATTCAATGCAAGAAAGCTTATTGGCGTGCGTACAATTCAGACCTATATGAAGTCCTTCAACAAGTTCTTTCAAAGGAACAAAAGAGATTTCAATATTTCAGCGGTGACAATCGCTTCTCGGTTGCTCAGGCTGTTAGCTTCGCAGTTCTCGTTCCAATCAAATAAGTTTTTTAATGCGTTGTGTCCGAATTAAAATATGAAAATAATGAAGAACACAATTATTATCCAGGCTAGGCAGTTTCTCATCGCCTGAGCTACACCCTCTGGCCGCTCCGGCTCGATAATTATCCATAAATTAGTCCAACTGCGCAGCAAGAGCGCCTGCGTATGGTTCATGTGCTGAAGTATCCGCACTGCGTAGTAACTTCATTGCTCCGAGAAGCATTACGAGAACATCCCTGCTATTCAATGATAAGCGGATGAAAAAAGGCAGCGAAAGAGTTATCGTTTTGATCTTATTTCGGATATCA